TTTGTAAGGAATATTTCTTGCAGCTTAATTGAAACTTGAAATAATCCTTTTTTAATTTTATCTTTAAGGAAAGACGAGAAAGAATTACAACTCACTAAATATTATTGAAGTATTTTAAAACAGCCGCTTTAAAGACTCTATTATTAAATCATTTTATCAAGCAAATATGAATTGGTATGAATAAATAAACACAAATTTCATTGCCAACTATTTTTCGTTTTTCACATGAAAATCATTCTTATGTTATATTCTTTTGTCAAGAAATGAAAAAAAAAAAAAGTTGAAAGAGTTCTTCATTTTCAGCAAAAATCTGTTTCGTAACAGAAATAGGAAGGAAGAAGTTGATTGATGTTATTTTCATTTTTAAAACATCAGCCGCCTTCTTTTCTTATTCCACCCGTCTCTTCCAATGTTCATGACAAAAATTTTTTTAACAAACTATTTAAAAAGTCATCAAGGTCAAATATTTATTCAGAAAGAATTTTTTTGAATGATGTTTTGTAAATTAGATTTTTTTAACGGTTTTTGCTTCTCAAAGTAAATTTCATTTGAAAGAAACTCAAAAGAAAAATTTTTTTTCGTTTCTATATTGCCGAATTAATTTTGATGAATGGTAATTTTCAGAACAAATGAAGTTGGATTGTAGGTGAAAAGAAGGACAATACAATTCCAGAAAATTGTCGCTATTAAATTCCAGAAGATTCCAGTCTACGTAAATCGTAGAGGATTCTAATTATTAAATAATTATGCCTTGAAAAATTTAACGCATTCCTATATTGACAATATAAGTTTTATCTGTCTTTTAAAAGGAGAAGCTTTGTCCGATTTACTGTTGACAACTAATTCATTTTTTTATTGAAATTCTTATGCTGTTATTCAACTTCTAAAAATCTGGCAATCAGTTTTCGGTATAAATTTAGACTGTGTTACCTAACTTCCTTGCTCATCACTAACTTATGTGATAATTGGTACTTTAAGTATTTCCGATTTCTTTAAGCGCCATGTTTAGAAACGAATTTAAATTGAAGACAAAAAGATCACGACAGGATTAGTATGTTTCTGTTAGAGAACATTTCTCTTCATTGGCCAGTGTCATTCTAATCAATGAGCCAAGTTTATATCCCATTGTTCTGTTGTCACAACTAAACTACTTCTGTTTCACCAGTTAAAAGTAGGTAGGTATTTTTACTTATGGTATTGTAACACTCTAATCTTATTGTTTTCTGTAGTGACTGATCCCTGCATTCCTGCACTCTTCCAGGGATAAAAGATTACAGAGTAGAGGGAGGGGAGGTTATAGATTTTGTAAAAAATTCTCTCTTTATTACTCTTATTTAAGAACAGAGCTTAATTTGCATATTAGCAACAGCTTTCATAAATTGTAAAAGTGAACCTGTTAGCTTCTACTGAAATGGTAAAGTAGCAGAAATATTCCACTGTGTGTTTTGGCCTTATTTGTCAAATGAAAATGTTTCCTTTCCTTTCAAAATCGCTGCTGCTTTGATGAGATGGCAAAAGGACGGTTCGTTTCATCGTTTGTTTGAGGAGAGATGCGCAGGTATCGATAATACAAATATACTACAATTCCATCAACCCTGTAAATGCAGCAGCGTTTAATTCATTCATTTCCTCTCGTCTCTTTAACATTCATTGACCTCTCTCAGTACTTACGAGTTAGCCAGGAAACGGCTTATACTAGTTGCACTGTCACCTATCAAAGTAGTTATTATCCATCGGTATACGTTATTTCCTGCTTTAAGCTCAAATTTGAAACAATTTGAAAAATCTAATTTTCATTTCAGAAAGGTGGGCTTTGACAAGTTTCGGATTGTCTAATTTTGTTAAAAACTATTAAAGGCAATCTTACCCTAACCTCTCCCTGTGCCCTCACTTTCACTTAGTGTTTGTTCTGTATATCCGTCCGTATCTATCATCATCGATCCTCTGTGTCACTTCTACCTTCCTCAGTCACTGGTGCAATGATCGTTTCTCTTTCTCTTTATACCATCTGTTCGTGACCACTGCAAATAGCATCTCCAATCGCGTCTCCTTAAAATTGATTCACAAGTATTTTTGGATGGATGTATCATCACACTGATAGAACTGTTCCTGTTCATTTCTGATTTACCGGATTATTCTAGTCGGAAAATTGAAAATGCTACAAATTGATATACTTGCTTCAGAAGAGTTCCTTCAGATGAATCCAGAAATTTGTGAGATTTAAACGTTTTAGTTCGTATTGTTGGGAATATGTTAATTAAGATTGCATGATGGACAGCGAGAGCGGTGGGAAGAATATGTTGCTGTGATAGACTCATTATTTGAGAGTGCAGTCGGTTTGTAATGGATTTTAATCAGTTGTTCTCGTCATTGCTGGACACTTTGATCAAAATTTGTTGAATATTTCCTGTGCGTTAGATATGATAATCTTCTGTTTTTGCCATGCCAAAAAGTTTATTCTCGTCATTAATACTCCATTCATGTCAAGATTTCCTCCTCCCTTAAATGCTGTCATTCATTTGTTTATTTTGGCTCTAACTAACTGATTACTTCTAGAATCATTAGGGACTAGAAAAGCTAATATCTTTCACCCATCGAAATTCCCTCCTTACTTTCTGTTTTTGTGAATGGAAACTTCCCTTTGTTTTAATTTAACTCTTTGCTGTTTATCGGAATATTTGATGTGAAATTCAGAAAACTTTCATCATCTTCGTTGTGCTTTACTTTTCTTCTTTTCAATTTGTTAACCAGTTGTTGGTAATGTTCAGACATCGTCTCTTTCTTTTGTCCACTTTATACGATTCAACGCAATCCACCTGATGCTTTGCTAATGATAGCGATGGTCCAGTACGTCCTCTCATTCCTTTCAAAACGACCCCTTTGACTTTAAAGAAATTTAAGCTCCTCCTAGCTAATTTGCATCATATCTATGTAAATTAGCTAGGAGGAGCCTAAATTACTTTTGGATGATTTTAAACGAAACATTTGAATGGATAATTTCATTTTTTCTTTATCTAGAAATCCAAAACTTTTAAATTTGATCCTTTCTTCGAAGAATCGAATTATCATTTGTATTGATCAAAATAACTTCAGTAGGTTACATATGAGCTGAATAAAGTGACTGTTTGGATCAAACGAACTACGAATATATTATTCATCTTTCGCTCGTGTCATTTGTCATTCGAGTAAAACAGAGAGCACCATTTAAGATTTTAAAAATAGCGCGGAGACAGTGTACGAAGAACTAATCGGTCTTCTAATTAATTAAGAACATAACTACTGGTTGCCCTGACACGTAATGTTTACCTTGCAGTATTTAATATGGTACTTTGTAGTTATCTGTAGCCGTGTATTCTATTCGTAAAAGAACGTAGAGACGTTATCAATTGATGACACTGATGCATTTTTGCTGCTTGAAGTAATGATATATTAATTGAAAGTTTGCAGTGTTTAAATATTCATAATAAAAATGGTCAAAAAAGTGAAATTCTTTCGCGGTGGGATTTCATTTTTTCAAACTGCCGAAGCAGTTTAAGACGGGCGTAATTCAAAAGAATGTATTAGTACAGTACTGGACAGAGATAAAGTCTTCACGTTGCACTATACTCAGCTTATTTGTAAATAAGCTAAGGCAATATTTCGTAGTGTGAGGTAGCCTGGTAGTTTCTTGGTATTAATCAATATGTAAACAGAAGTTCCATCATTTTGTACTGTTTCCTTTTTCATTGGGATGAATGTTACCTGGCAACCCTAATTAATTAAGATGCGTACAAACTTTAACGATAAAGCGGTTTCTATGCTTTGTCGATGTTTTAGGTTGTGTTCCTGTCTACCACTAGTGTCTTACTCGATACTCTTATATATTAGTAACAGTTTTTTATTAATGGATTTGAACCATTCATCCATGTGTGCTTTTTCAAAAGCATGGAGAATGTTATCTGTATTGCATAGAACGCTAAAAAGAAGTTGCAAGAAAAATCAATTTCTTAATTCCATATATAAATGTTTTCCCGGCGATGGAATTGATGCCGAGATTTCATATGAAAATGAACAAAGAATGCTCCCTGTTGGTACTTATGAATGAAGTAAAGAATACTGAGCAACGGGAGAATTTTAGAGTTGGAAAATGAAAATTGTTCTTTCTCATAGGAGCATTACCGCACATATACCATTTTATTTAGAAAAGTGAAGAGTGGAACTCATCGCTTCTCCTCGTTAAGTTCTATCGAAGCTTGTCACATCACTGAGGGGACAAGTACTTCTGTATCATCTCTCCTCTTCTACATATTACGTCCTATTATTGAATCTATTTTTAATCGAGATGACACAATTTCAATGTTATTAAAAGATTTTCTAACAGATAGTAGCGGAGATGGGTGGAGAGCAAGATTGAAAGTGATGAAAAGATCATACAGATCATCTGCTCCTGAGGAAGGGGAAATATCGCAGAGCATGTCATGTCCTCTCTTTCCTCTCTGTGAGGGATATGTAATCCTCCTGTCGTCATTTTAGCATCTCTTCTTTATCCAATTGATTGATGAGATCAGACTTCGCACTCTTATAGTGTTCGAATCTAAGACTTAAAGTTTATAAAATCTGAGATTAAGCAGTAAATTAGGCATATTGCACGGCGTCGTATTATCTCTATCATTCAGTTATTATTCATAACAGCCTCACAATGTCCATCAAAATGTGTTCATTCCATTTTTTCATTATTGTAAACTCGATGTATTTATGTTTCGTATTGTAGAATCGTGTGTTACTATTTTTAGCGCTAATCAAATCAGACAGAGTCGAGGTCGATATCTATCGAGCTATATCATGTTGACAACCTTTTTTGCATATCTTATTGAAATGGTTATATGAAATGCTGAAGTAGTCATTGTTTTTTGATTGATTTCTCCGGTCTGTAAATAATCACCGGCATACTTAGCGCTGCATCGATGAGGGAAGATGTGGAGTTAACGTGACATAGTGATTTAAAAGTAATGGTCAAACTAATGGTACATTTAACAGTATCTGTTGTTGAGCTCTGCGAAGATTGGGATGTAGGCAGTCATATTTTTTGTAGCCAAGAAGAAGGTACCTTACCCTACAGCGTAAAAACTCAAGATCCATATTTTCTCAATCTATTATTGATTCGTTATATGTAGAAATTTTCAGTTAGTATTCCGTTTCTGATCAAAAAAAAACGTATTTAAAACGTCCATACCGCATTGTTGCGAGAGATTTCGCCATCCTACACTTTGCCATTTTAGTAGCCATTTAGTTCCTTCTTTCCTGTTCGTTATCTGTTTTTATTATCGCTTGATGAATAAATAGTATAGAAAAATATAGAAAAAATAATAAATAGTAGAGAGAAACGATAATAGAGAAATATAAAATTAGGGAGATACTTGAAATGTTTGTCTTTTCCTGGTTGTCAGTGTTAACTGAAATTTTTTTAGAATATTTTGAAGTCTTAGTTTGCAGCAGTTTTACTGCTCTCAGCTGTTTTCCTATGTATTTAATTGTATTCTTTGAAATGCTGAGGAGTTTGAATTTCAATCCCCAGTTATTTTGCAGATAGTGGATGATGCTTTATTAATCAGAATAAAGGAAAATAGTCAAAAAAGCAACGAAAATATAACAACAATTGCTGATATAAATATGAGCAAGAAATGTGAAGCTTTCATTATCGACAACGGACCTACTGAGGTTACGACATACATAATAGACCATAACATTTGCACGAAATTTAATTCAGGTCTCTCAATTCTCAGGAATTTAACGAGTTTAGTAAATTTTGATGCTGAGAGTGGTAAATTATTATTATTATTATGAAATAATTTCCATATAATAGGAAGCTTTGCTAATCTTATCATAATTGTATAACAAAAATCACTTTCAGCTACTCATGCCTCGATATATTTATTTGATACTTGACTTGTGCTTTTTCATTATATTTTGTTGTCGACAGGAGAAATGGCTTATTTATGGAGAAGCTGGGAAAACTCAGTAATGCCTTTTCGAAATCTTTTACAGTTTCTCGATCAGGCGGTACCGACAACAGTTATGAATAAATGTGTTCCGATAGAATGTACGAGTAATCCAGTTATAGATATACTAGCTTCAACAGCTATGGATGTAAGGATTACTCTTATTCTTTCAGGTTTTAGATGGAGAACTGCTAATGCAATACTACTTTTTATTAAAACTTAGTTTGGATGAGAATAGCGTTTGAAATAAAAACGTTTTTACAGTAAAGTTTTATTTTACTGAAATTTCTGTCTGTATATGTTGAGGTCATTTGTTGTTTTGAAAAACAAAATTGATATGTGAGAACAAATCTCTACTGAGAATTAGTCATCGGCGGGTGAAAATGGCTGTCGGCGAACAACAATACCAATGGAAAGCTGTATTTTGTTTCTCCAATCGTTGTGTAAAAAACTGTTTCACTAGTTCCATGAAACTCCCTGGAGGAAATAGCTATAATACTGTAGTAGTTTAGTTATGATTTCTTGTTGAAAATGACAGGTAAAATATATTGCAGAAGAGAAGCTGTTTTTAGATGTTTTTAGATTTTTAAACCTTTGCTGTTTCTGAGTTGCATTTTTATTCTCTCTGCATAATTGATTTATGAAGACTTCCAAATATTTTTGCATTAGCTAATCATTTCATTTACATTTGTATCGGAAAGATTATGCCAGTTTCGACGTTTAGTTTTGATTTTTATTTCAGCATCCTAAATCACCAACAAACTTCAAAGTAAGTATTGGTCGTATGAAAAAATCTACAGCAGTACAATGTGACAGACGCACAACCTCATCAAAAGATAAGAGAAAAAGCAAATTCGTTGAAGTAAGTTGATGCTAGCTGATTTATTTCTTTAAAAGTTTTAAGGAAATAAAATTTCTTTTAGTTCATATGCACATGTAAGTAACAATAAATAATGGAATTAGATTAATCTTTTATTTACTTTGTAGTTGAATCAGAATCAAAACTGGAGTGACTCAGAAACTTTGTGTACTTTAATTTCCAATAGAATTAAGTATTGTTTAAGAAATAAACCACTTCAAGTTCAAATGTGCAAATATATACCGTCAGCACTTTTGCAGTTGCTAAATCATGGAGAAAAAAGTCAAGATGGTGCAAAAAGTGCAAGTGAAAAAGGGATCACGCTGTTGGAACAAATTATTCGCACGCATCCCATTTGGTATTTGCAGCATATCGGCCGTTCCGCTGCTACCCATTTGCTTCGCCCAATGAATGAAGGGGTAAATGTAGTTTCCAGTCGTTTTCTAAATTCAAACAGGAAAATCGTTGCTCATAAATGAATCGTGTAGTGCGTTGTGGCAATTTGATCAGATTTTAAAATGCGTAATTCTCTACACTTCATTGCTTTTATTATATCTACAATTGAGATTTTGGAATTTTCACATTTCTAACATTAATTAATTATGATAATGTATTATTTCTTAAATCGGATATTTTTTATGGATCTTTTTTTCTTGATTCGGATAATTTATGAAGTTTAAACAAATCCGAGTGTGCAGTTTAAGAGATAAAAGTTTAATTCTGTTTCCTTAATTGTTTTTAGGCTTTTATTGTGCGGTCATCATCAAAACCTAATTCAATGGCATTAAGTATTCGTTCACCTCCTGGTTTAGCATCCGATATTGATCATTATCTAATCGAATCATCCGGTTCGGATAAAAGTGTACGTGTAGAATCGTCGCCATACTATTTTAAATCACTTCCTTTATTAATTGAACATTATTGTTTGAACGGGTAAGTTATAATTTTTAGATATCTTGATTTAGATGTTTTTGAAAATTTTGAAAACCTTTAAATGCCAAAGAACTTTGTAATCAGAAGTGTATTTTTGTATTCTTGCTATGTTGTTTTAAATGAACACTGCCAAAATTATCGGTAATTAGGAACAGCACGAGCATTGCGTTGTCATGCAGAATACTGAGAGCACACTATGCTTCAATAAAATTCTTTTTTGACGCTTTGACGTACCTGTTATACGAATCAAAAGATTAAACATATATTCTTTAATTTTTCATTTCGTATGGACATTTAAAAATAAATGTTAAATATATACAATAGAATTAATGTTAAGTACTTGGTTTTATTAGTGGAAATTATGTAAGGATTTGATAAAAAAAATGAAATTTACATAGTATGTTCACTCAAACTTTAGGGATATTGCATATCCTTATGCACTGATATGTCTAAGAGGAAAACTTATAGAAATCGTGAATAAAAAACATTTGATTTTTTTCTTTATTTTCATATGTCGCTTACCATAAATTCGCTGTGCTCTTACTCTGAGACCTTATCCCTTGCTTAAGTTTGAAATGTGAAATGAAATTTGGAAATGTAAAAAAAAAAAAAAAAAAAACTTGAATACATGAAATTCATTTTCTGTCATTTTTGATTTTCAGTGAAGAACTTCAGACTAATCTTGTCTTACCGGTTGCAATTACACGCTGCTGTACGAGCATGCAGTTACAGAGTCTGGCACTGATGGGTCAAGGTTAGTGCAGTGTTTAACATTCTTTTATTTTCTGCATTTTCCACTATTATCCTCCAATGTCCTTTATTTTGGTAATTGTTTGTATGGTATTTCTTGTATTCTTAATGGTTTTATAAGTCTTTTTGTAGTTCTTTCATCAAAGTAGCGGAAAATTTAAGTTTTCTACTTCCAAGTTTTAGGGCTGACATAAAAGTTGGCGGACTTCAATCTGTTTTTTTGACGGTTTCGTTTTCTGTATGCTTGCTGCCTTCATTCTTGCTTTTTATTTTTTAAAAAAAAATATACTGAATTAGGTAAATGAGTTTTGTTTTTTAATTTAAGGATTTATGATATGGCGGGCTGTTTTTGACATCAGATAAAATTGTGTTAGAAACAAATTGTAAATTATTTTGGATCTCATTCCCAAATGCTAATTTGGTGCATGCATTTTCTCCAACTTTATGCACAGGGGGTTCTCTCTTCGCAGTTTTCAAATTTGAATCTAATGGTTGTGGATTGCTGTGAAGTGAGGTATATATACATATACATATATGGTAGAGCAGTAGAACATTTTCTTGTTGGTGACCTTTGTCCTTTCCGAACATTTGTCTGTCATTCCTGCTTAAAAAAGAATTACCCTTCTTTAATTAATGCGTTCGCACTTCTTGGATATTTTTCTTGTGCATTTTTTGTTCAATTTTCCTGACTTTTGAATCGGTTTGAATAAAGCGGTCACGCAAAAAATAGGCTGATATAAATCAGTGTTAAATCCAATAGTGGTAAAATTAACAAAATCCAAAATCGAGTCTTTTTAATCACTTATGAAGATTGAATTTCTTGTAAAACAGGCAGGTGTTTAATATTCAGTATGCTTAGAATGAAGTGATGCACTATAAGCCACAGAGAATTAATGTAGCAGTGAATAAATAGTTGATGTTTAAAAGAAGATACTGGGTAAGTTCCTGTGCTAAATATATCCTTTATATTTTGTAATATATGAGGATTTATAAAAGATTCAGGCAAAATAACTTAAAGTATTTTAAGTATCAGGCGTAAATTTTTTATTTTCGAAATTAAGTTTCTTTTTCCAGCTTATCTTACATCTAGGATTTCCGTTTACTACTATTTTTAAGTATTCTGTTTTTCTAGTATTTGTTTTAAATATTAAATTATTTCAACTTAAAAGTACTGGCAGGTTGGTTTTTCTTTAAAAATAAATTGTTTTTGAGAGTAATACATGCTAATAAAATCCCATTAGAAAGCAGCATCTCTCTGTATACTTCTGCGAATAGATACAGCTAATATCATGTTGGCTTACAGAATTGGTTTGTTTTCAATGCAATCTAGTTTGTTTAGTGTTATAATGTTCAAAGTCAATCAACTTAGGGAAAAAATATTCCAATGTCTCGACGCACTTTTTTCCCTTATTCACAATAAAAAGTGTGAAAGCATGCTTTATATTTTTATTTATTGTTGTTGTCTGATAACATTAACTGAAGATTTCCAAGTAAAAATTTCTGTTATTTCACATATAAAAATTAAATAGGTGGAAGAAAGCAATTTCCATATATTTGTGATCAATAAGAGGCAAAGAAATCAAGTTTTGTTGGAGTAAAACTTCGTCTTCAAGCCATCGGAAAGAAGATATGTAGAAGAGGACATAAACTTTTTTAACAGCAATTATAAGATTATTGAGGAAATTTGTCGTTTGTAAAGGAAATTCGGATTTATTCATGTTGAGGTATGGGATGCAATTTTCAAAAATAAAAAATTTGATTGCATAGTAATTATTACTTTATTATATTTCTTTTCATGGTTTCTTTAACCTCTATTTTACCAACCTCAATTTTTATATTTATAATTTCTTCCTTATCTGTCGTTCAAGGGCCTTTCACCATTCAATATTGTCCACAGTGTTCTAATCTAAATTCTTCGCTTACTTGGATTTAATAAGGAGTAAAGAATTTGCTTCGTAATTCACCTAATCATTGTCATATCTTTATTATTATTATTATGATAAATCTGAAAATGGTTTAATAGAACTTGAAGCATACAAAAATAGAATGGTTCTCACAAATCTTTACAACGTGGCTGAAGATTTCGTGTTTAAGTAATCTAAAGTTTGATTTTCCAGAAAATATTTATGCGCTCATTTATATCTGACAATAAATGACTATTATGACTGGACCCCATTTTGTATTAGTAAAGGCAAAGAATCAGAGAACCTTTCTTTCCTGGTGAATTTCTTATCCTCCTATTAATATTCTTGGAATGAGGTTTCTTATGCCAACATTGGGATAAATTATAATTCGTCAAACCACTGATTTAGAAATTATAAATTTTTCTAAATCAGTGGTCAAACCTCTGATTTAGGAAAAACTTTCAAGTTTTACAGAATTCTTCGAACCTTTGCTTATGAAAATGTCAAGAAATCCTGTCGGGCAGATGCACATTCTTATATTTAAAAAATTTTTCAAGTGAAATGAAAATTTTTCAGTTTTGAAAAAAGAACAGAATGAATTTTTTCTTTAACTCTGGAAATTTGTTTGAAAATTAAAATAAAAAAATTTTTTTCAACTCAAATGAAAAAAATTTAGTTCAGAAAATGATAGAAAGACATACGGTGTCTTTGACTTTTCCATACAAATTGAAAACATCAAATTTCATTTGTATTCGATATTTTTTAACAATCTGACCCATTTCAATGCATCACTTAGATGGCTGCATTATTCATCATCTGGCTGTTTCGATCTGAAGGTCCTTTTGCAGTTTGCAAAATTTACGATTTCAGTATTGATTGAAGCTGCGGATCCTTGAATTTAAGGATTCATAAAGACTATCTTATTGTAAGTTCTAACTGCATAACACACTTAAAGATGCGAGGAAGCAATACTGAGCAGTCGTTGAGCTTTACCAAAGGATTTGAAGCTGTAACACACGCTGCCCTTCACATTACTTTTGATGTTTAAAATATTTAAGTTACTTCGATTCAAAATAAAAGAAATTAGAGAGAATAAAACAAATCGCTTAACCTAGTTATCTGAAATGGACTTAGCGATAAAGTAGATTGAAATTTTATATAAAAAAGGTTATCAAATAATATTCTATAAAATGTAATTGGCGGTTTTGAATTAACCTTCAGCCCTGATCCTTTCGTCTTTCTTGCTTCTCTTTCCTTCTTTTCCCTTTCAAATTCACTGCTTTCAATACCATAACTTTCAGTATCGTAAACAAATGTCCTAGTGTTGGCAGATATTTTATTGTTATTGTTAATTCTTTCCAAAATAAACTCCCACTTTATGCTGCTTTCACAGTTTTTTCCGTTTCCTGAATTTGTAAATGATTATATTCCTTCAGTGTTCAGTATTATATGATGCTCAAGTGGAATTTTATAGTGTAAGCAGATGAGTATAAACATAAATATAGGTTATGATGAAAATAGTTTTAGAAAATGCTATTAACCCAAATAGACAGCCGACTTGAATCAATTCGATGTAAATATGGCTTGTTTCAGTTCTCTGAGGGAACTTAATTGTGTAATTGTGCTCGAAAATTCATTTTTTAAAAGTGGCATAAATTATATATATATATATATAACGAAAAAAAATCTAAATGGCGAGCATTTTCCTTTAAATTTTGGTTACAAATACTGCTTAAAATCTTTGTTTTCGAAATTGTTACTGCTGAGAATTAGAAATTGTTTGAAGTCCGCTGTTCAGTTTGGATATCATTTTCATGCTTAAATATAAATGGATAAACAGTCATATATGAAATGAACACTGATAAACATGTATGATATATTGAGAAGGATGCTTAGAAACATAATTGTCATACTGCTACAGCTGTTTATCACTTATTTTTACTTCTGGCATCGTATTATGTAAAGGGAAGTATTAATTAAAAAGTTGTTTAAACTCATATCCGTTTGTGAGTGTTTAATGTTTAATCCATCCTTACTTTGACAATGTTTGTCTTTTGATTTGCAAATTAAACTCTTTTGAGTTAGCATTTTGTATGTTTCACTATGGTACATGGGAACGCAGTTTTTCGTGAAAACGGTTGTGCGAAATTGTTTAAAATTTAAGTATGTATCATCACTTTGTGATGTAATGTGCATCATTTTTTTCTTTTTTGAGCTGAAACATGAAATTGTTTAACGGAATTTTTGGCACATTCCTTCTAACAAATAATGCCCAATACATTATCTTAACGGTCAGGTCAAGATTTGCTCTTCCAATCAGTTTCTTCATCACTTTCTCATATTTTTTAAAGATTATAAGAGGAACCTAATATGAGGAATAAGAAAATGTAGCCTTTTTTTGTGTTAGACTTTTCTATAAAAGTTTTGTTAAAGTGATAACGATCAAAATCTACTTATAAAGTACTACTTTCGTTATGTATATGTGAAACATATATTAAAATATATATAGAAAATTAAGAGCGGAATTTGTTATTTGGACGTTTGCCGTGTTTAGACTTCTACTTTGTGGTTATACTAGGAATGGCAACAGAAATAATTTTACCTTTTTTAAGTGTTTTGAAATTTCGAAAGAAGGAAGACTAAAGAAAATATTGTTTCTAATCTGTCGCTGTGCTACTATAAATTTATGCATGCTAACGTTATACATTATGCATATATTTATGTTGCCGTCTGTATTGATAGTGATCATTTTAAACAGCTGCTGCATTCATGCATTTTGATATTTACACCGCGAATCCGAAAATCTTTTCTGGATTTTATACTCTGTGTTGTGGCAATTTTCTTTAAGTGCTTTTCATGGATTTTTTAAATTTCAAGTGGATATATTTTTTGAGGCTCAAAAAATTGCCTACAAAATACACAAAACAAAAAATTACAAAATACAATGCATAATTGCAAAAACAGTTGGAATGAAAAGGGATTTAAAGTACCTTACGATCAAATTTAATTTGCCACTCACATCCTTTTAACATCTTTTCATCGGTTAGTAATTTGTTCTATGTGCTGATGTTTTATTTTATATTTTCAGACAGATAAAGGAGATCCCTACTTATTATAAATTTTGGATTCCACAATTTGCGATTTATATTCGTTGTTAGTACTTGTCAAAACTTCAGTAATAACTTTAAGGTTCGCTAGGATTTTCTTTTTGGTTTTTCAAACTCTAAAATTTTGTTATTAGTTCAAAGATGAAATTTAGAGAGAGAGGGTGTATGTATATGTATGTTTTGATTTTTTCAAAAGATTGTGTTTCTTTTACATCATCATCCTCCACTTATGAGAAAGTGTAATCTTTTCTTTCGTGCAGCTGAAAGATTAATTGCTGATTTGCAGTAAAATCTTCCGGAACTGTATTTTCGGAGGGATTTTTTCATTTTTCGCATTTGCTCTCATTCCTAACACCTTGTTATTGATATGTTAATAACACACAGTTACTTCATTGGCATTCTTCAGTTTCACACTGTTTCTATTGAAGGGACAAAACTGGGTCACCTTTCAAGATCGTATTCTGACCTTACTGTGATTGAATTACATTATCTGATTACTTTGCATTTATCATCTTTAGTTCATTTTGTTATCATTATTGCGGCAACACTCTCTTTGTAAAATGAAAAAAAAATCTTGAACATAATAGATTAAATTCACAAAGTTCATCTTCAACAGAAAAATGATATCTGCATTCTATTATTCCTTATTTCAGTTTTATATTTTCTTTTACTAATGAATTTCATTGTTCTGAAATATTGAATTTTTGCAGATTTTTGGACGAGTGATATAGCACAAGAAAGTAGTGGTTCATCGCAGAAGCATTCGGATTTAGAATCGTCGAGTGTTCGTTACTCTTCGAAGAGGCGTTCAAGTTTTACAAAACATTATGTGTCAAACGCAACGAGTGGTAGTTCCGTTTCCAAGCGCGCCAATGAAAAACGTGTTAACAGTGTAATTAATGCTTGCATGGGTAAAGGTAAAAAATTACTCTGAAAATTTAGATCACAAAAAGAATAGTCAGAAAAATTTTGTGTGGAAATATATTTTTAGTTGGTAATGTTTGGTTTTGCATCTTTTTATTTTATTAGATATGCTATTTTAACATTTCTTCTCTCCGCCATATTTTTCCACTGATTTATCTTTCTTAGTTGTATCTGATGTAACGATGAACTTTCTGAGTTATTCTTTCAAAATTTGAGTTTTATATAGGTGTGATTGCTTCAGGAACATATATTTTGCATATGACATCACTCCAGAATAACTCAGGGATTGGTGATGTATCGACGCAGACTATTTCTGGTCGACGATCATTACTAAGGCATATATTTCGCTCAGAAAGCTCGTCAAATGCGATAAGTGGTAGCGATAATGGTACTAGTAACGGCAATGGTGAAAGGGATGCTGAAACAAAACCTGTAATGATAAACTTGGCTCAGTGTCGTGCTTTCACTCCTTTGAAAGAGCAGAAAATCACTTCGTTAGTCTTTATTCCTTCAAAAAATGTTGACTCTAAGTGAATCGAGTAATTTCAGTAATTCTCTTTTCATTTGTCCTCACCTTCTTAGTATTAATTGCTTCTGTATGAGAGAAATTGTCAGTTTGCACACAAATTTTAATCTCATATTCTTTCAGAAGTCAGTCAGCTTTGGCACTTTCATCGACGTCATCACTGTCAACGCAGCATGATGCTAATTCTTTACAGTCGTACATCGCCGATCAATCTGCTGATTGCTTAATTTTGGAACGAAATCAACATGCAGTCCCCTCCCTTCGTACCTTCAAACCAGGTCGTTCTGCCAATGGTGTTGTTACTCAGGAAGAGGTACAAAAATTAAACGGCTCAAATTCACATTTCAGAGGTATTTCCTTCGCTTTTCAAGGCCCATCTCTAAATATTCAGTACTGGATTTTAAGAAAACTTATTATATATGATACTTGACTATATATATATATGATGCCTGGCTTTTTGATCAGTTGGTTACTCTTTAAAATAAAGATATAAATTTTTTTATTTTATTTTTTTTTTTTTTTTTTTAGAGAGAGCTCAGTGTTTTATCATTTTAGCATATCAAAAGATGTCATTATTACTATCCTTATTTCATTTATACTGTCATCGGCTTTGTAAAGAAATATTTCCGTACAGTGAACCAAAATCTTCATGCAGATTAACTGATTGGTCTTTCAGCTTGGGAATTTATAAGGAATAAATTATCATGAATATAATGGATCTCCCTATCAACTTGCTTGAGCACCTTTTCCTTAATTCTTTATCTTGTGTGGCAAATTTTCAGTAAATCCAAAACCGGCTGTAAAACCGAAACCACTAGCACTAAGGCGCGAGCGGAGTGATTTGACGGCTGGATATGTACCACGTAACGCCGATTACTATAAAGAATATAATGCCGCTGCTGGTAGTGATGTTGGTGTTCGATGTACTTTGATGTCGCCATCTACATGTCCTGATGGAAATACCTTGTGTAAATGTTTGGAGGAATTGAAAAGGAAAAGGTATTCATTCCATTTGTCGGTCTTTGTTACTAATGTTTAAAATGCATGTCTAATCAATATTCAGGATTTTTCAGGATCTGTAGGACATTTACGTGAAACTTACGTAGAGGGAAACTTTTTTTCTGTTAATGATAGCAGACTATAAGAGAAATTACGTCTTTTTACTAATTTTTTACATTAATTATTATGTTCATGTAATAATGACTTAGATTCTGTTTGTAAACTTGATTATATCTGTGTTTTATGGCTTGAATTTGTTTTTCTTTCGTTTCGTAAATTTATATCAGTTATGAGCAAAATTTCTTCACTCAGGGAACGTTTACTTCAATATTTTTTCCTGCAACTTTTCTTTTTATCTGCAAATTTCATTAATTTTTACATGATTGTCCCGGTTTACATAGATTTGTCATATTATAAACAAGCTTTCAATTTCGGTTTTGATGTAACAGCTTAGTAAGAAAAGTCTCCTGAGTCCATTTGAAAGTTTATAACAATCCTATTCTGCTAAGTCAAAGAAAGAGGACAAAGATCCTCAAGTAAGGTTTGTATTTATTCGTCATTTTTTCTCAGTTTAAATATCATTCGAATTTTTGATAACCACTTACTTAAGTCACGGAATTTTTGTTTTAAATTAATGTTTTGAGATAACAAAATATGTATCTTAAATTGTACAAATTTATTTTATATTTCACTTGCATAAGATTTAAAAATTTTATAAAGCAGGAAAATTATGCAGTAATAAAATTTTATATATAGTTTTTATATTTTGATTACGACGAAATTGCTTTGCAGATAAACAGTTTAAAATAAGAAATCAATTCAAAGGAAGTTGGACGGAATATTCTTTAAGTGTTTTTGTTAATTCTTATGATCTCATAAAAATGCTTCTCATAAAAATGTTTCTTATGCTCTCAAAAATACAGCGTTGCGATCCATCTTTATTATAGACAAGAAGCAACAGTCGCAGTTTCTGAAACAAACTCCAGATCTGGTCATCAACAACACTCTCAGCGAAATCACTACAAGGAAAGAAATGAAACTGATTTTGGTAATATTAACGTGGTTTTAAGGTATATTGTCGGTCATATTTCGAAGATAATTTCGAGTAGATTCCAATGGATTTAATATCTCATTTAACTTATCCAAATAAAGGGTCATGGGGATGTTGCTCCGTTCCTTTTTTTTTTAAATGTATTTGAATAATAGTTCTATTTCGGAAAATAAGGTTAATCAGAGACTGAAATTCTCAGAGGTTTTGAAACATAGTGAAATAACAAATTTATTGACAACAGGACACGCTCCAGTGAAAGTTTTCGAACTGAGCAGCGTCGTCTGTCGGTTCCTGATTTGGCAGATTTGGCCCATACTTCATTAACAAATGGTGTTACCGGAGTTTTAGCCACTGCGAAAGCATTAACTTCCAAGCTTGGTCGAAATCCAAGAACTGGAGAATTACAGGTTATGACTATTTAATCTAAACATCCTTTTCCACTAAGTACTGTTTCTGCTTCTGCCGATAAGTGCTGTTTATCCTACCATTGTAGGATAAACATTTACAATAATACGGCATTATAAGGATAAATATAGCACAGTTTAAAAATTAATAATGTTTTTTACTCTCATTTGTACCAGTAATTTATTAAATGCTTAACCAACTATAAATGATGGATAGATAATATTGTTATGGTTCCTAAAACTTTTGGACGATGTTATTGCTTTCATTTGTTGTTAATTTTGACTGTATTCTCTAGTTTACAAACAGATCACTACGGCTTAGTTTACAAACATATTTTAGACAATAAATGAAGGATTAGTTACACCAGTAATACGACGCAAACAGTACATCAAAGATATACATGGAAATAATTCAACAAACGATTGGCGTACTGGGAGTTTGCTCCAAAAACCATCATTGACTCATAAAGAGCTAGCGAAACAAGCTGAGCAGGAAGATATAAGACATGACGGCCGCGACGGTGCAGAACCTATCTTTACCAGAAAGTTAGTCGTTCCAAAAATCTTATTAAAACGGTATAGCTTGCATATTTCCGCAGAATCTGTGACTTGTAAAATAATGCTTGGTACTAATAATTCGCAATATTATTATTTTTTTTTTTTTAATTTCTAAATAAATTTCTAAACACTCTGATGAAACTTAAATTATTATTAATCAAATTTTATAATTTGTTACGTTGACGTGAAGATTAACTCTAGTTTTATGGAGACCTTCCTTTCATCCCTCATTCCAAAAGCTAAACTTTTAAAGAAATGGGTTTGTTTCACTAGATATGAAAATAATTGACGTCATCATGATTGTGTGAGGAGAAAGAAAGAACTCCTTAATTACATAGGTATTTTATTATTCACCATCTTTATCGTCTCTGCTCTCTTTTTCGTTTTTTATTCAGTCCGGACTGTCTCTTACAATGTTGTCATCCATAGCCATAGGTTGTTGTTGATCCTCGTTTGCTTGACATATTGCTAAAGTATTACTTATGCTAAACAAACGAGGTTTGTGTCTTAGTCCAGTTATATGTGCGAATTATTATTATCATTATTGTTGTTGCCTTGGCCACGAAGTGTTGAAAGATAAATATTTCGTGGATCTGTGTATGTATGTATGGTGTGCGTCGGTATGTGTTGTGTGTTATTTGTTGATCGCTGCTGGTGTAGGCGACATTTCTGCAACGCTGAACAGGCATTGACTGTGTTCATATTGGAATCGAACCCGTTTATATTTATGCGTGCATATTTCTGCATACTTACTGAGATCTGTCGAATTAGAACCAATTTGAAGGACTTCATATATTATTTTTTATTTCCCATATTTGGTATTTCTCTCACTTTGCTATCATTTATGTTTCGTCGATTTTCCTGGCCGTGTTGCATTTGTCACAACTTCTTTCTACTTAATTATAAAAAATTCTAATTTTATAGTAACTGCTTGATAGTTATGGATGAAAGGATCAAGGAAGAATGCTATGTGCCTTGTAAAATGAAAGCTTAAACTGCAATTGCGAATTCAAGAAACCTACTCCTATAGAAACAATGATTAATTCATCGTTGTTGAACTGTGGATTAACCAGTGAAAGAGTGTGATTGTAAGAATCGAAGACAGTTTTAATACATTTGCATATTTCACAATTTATTTATTGTCGTTATGATAATGCTACTTTGTTGCTTTCTATCATAATTAATTTTTTTTTTTTTATTTTTCTCTCTTATTTTGACCACATAGAATTTTATGGAAATTTGAAGTGAGGAAGGAAGTATGTTGATCCAAATGTAGATTGCATGAGTAAGAATTGTTTCTGAGAAATAGTCTTTAAACTGAGTCGCTGATCTGTGCACTAAAAAATCCGAATTTTTATAGCTGAATTTCCTCACACTGTGAAGAATTTTTGGGTCATGTGAAGAATTTGCAAGGACTGTTTCAGAGTATCTTTCTGGATTTTATAAATGACCTGAATGAGAACATATTCGTTTCATTTTTCCCTTTCATGCAGAAACCGTGTTCTCCATTTCTTAAATTAGTGACGATGTATTTTTAGCTCTCCGATTTTTGCAGTTTCTTCTTTCTTTCTGTTGTATTTATATGAGGATTAGCAGGAAACGAAATGATGAGAATGAAAATTTGAAATATCTCGGTAGATTGTTCCAAACTTCCATTTCCTAGTCCATAAAGATGGCGAATTCTTCAATTTTCAATTTCTTTGTGGAAATAACATATATATATATATATATATATATATATCCAAGTTATCTCTAGTTCTTTTTTGTCTTTCTCTGTCTAAATTAATTTGAAAAAACAATGTCGCAATTCGAAGCTGTCTTACTTGTGGAGTCATTCATAGACTTCATTTTTTGACCATTGTTCTGAAATATATCTGATCTTTAATCTTTCTTTTTACTGCTTAATTTCATTGACTGAAAAATCTGCAAACTTCTCTCATATCATTTCATATAATTATGCGTAAATTGAAACCAGAAGAATTAGAAAGAATTGTAGAAAAAAACAGAATTATAGAAGTGGCAATAGTACCATTTCTTTTTTCCTTATTGTTTTTTTTATTTTATTTTTCTTTTTTGGCTGTTTATATTCAGAATATTTCATATTTTATTCTATATCGCGCCTGACTTTTCTCGGACTTATACCATCTTAATTTTGTGTCAAGTATAAAAAATGATGATTGTTGAAGGGCACGATCACTTCCACGTACCAAAAAATATTGCAAATCTTAACAGCTATGAAAAAAGTTTGGAATTTCTATGCTTGAAATGTTTCTTTAGTGTATTCTTTATAACAGTAAAATTATGATATTTATTTTGATAATTCATGAAAAAATGTGCGGTTGTTTGTTCACCAACTTTTATTATCATTTTACCTAACTATAACAAATTAATAAATAATCAAACTCGACATAAATTACTTTTATTTCTGCTAAAAACGAATTTATTTATAAAATCAATAAATATAAAAACTACTGGTGTAGTTCTACCACGATTCTTTGGCATGCAGTTTGTACTCTATTAGAGATTCGTTCTCTCATCTAACTCGTTATATATTTACTTCCTTGATAAAATTTTTTGTTCAGTACCATTGTCAAACCGTTTTGTTTAATTCAAAAGCGTTCGACATTTGTTATTAACTTTTAAAAATTTTAAGGAAGTAAAAAAGAATCGAAATTCATTTTTCTTGATTGAATATTATCACTAAGTTTCACTGTGTAATAAAAGTAGATATTTCTACTGCATTCTCATGATGCTAGCAATATTACTGTTAGTCACTGTAGTTATAAAATCAGTGCTTAATAAAGAGAGAATTCTCTCGATATTTATTATTTTTATTGCAACTGTTCAATTTTCCTCACTTCAATATGCTTGTTTGAATGATTTTAATTTTAATGGAAGTAGTTTCCTTGATATTTTGATTTCCATGGTAATAGTTCGGTTCCTGATCTTACAAGTTCATTTCTGCATGAAAATGAAAATTATACACATGCGAACCAAACAAGTGGATCGGTAAGCGGCACACAAACACTAGTACATTCGTAATTTGGAATAATGTTTGTTGTTTCTGTAATAGTTTCAAACATTGGGTTTATACTGTCCCTTTCATTAAAAATTTTTAATTAAAACATTTCAAAAAAGATATTGCAGTTTTATTTTTATCGCAATTATTATGATTTAAATAGTTTTCTTTAGAAGACGCAATGAATTCTTAAAATGAAACTCAGAACTTCAGTGTCTTCGTTGATCTTCCTGTCGGTTTTGTAACACAGATACAATTTATCTCTTTATTACTAAGTTTCGCATTGGAAGCCTGCATAGATTGGAAATAAATATTTTGTTTTTAGTTAGATTTTAGTGTTTTTACTAAGGTTTTCTGGATAACTTATGTCTTGTCATTTAACAATTAATAATTTTCTCAACAATATTTTCTAAACAATTCCACATTCCTTATGGCAGAGACGGCGTTAATAGATAGTTGAGCGTGTTTTTTTTTAGTTTTGTATATTTGGTGTATGATCATGGAGATCGTATATAATTTGTGTAACAAAAAGGGCATTTACTATAGAATATTGTGGTGAATCTAACTGTAAAAAGCGGTAGATTTGTGTTATTTTTCGGCAAAATTGAAAAATCGAATAAACTAACTATTTGTACTTTTTTTGATACCAAATTATTCAAGCATTAAATTGCAATATTGGCTTTTCTTAAATTATAAAAAAAGTATTGTTTGTCGCTGAAACCATTTAGTACATAGCTTTTTTCTACTTTGTTTTTCATTTGCCTCTAGTTGTTTTTCATACATGTCTCGCTATTCTGAGTGGATTTTTCTTTGACCCAATTACAACTTTCTGTTTTTCTACTTGCGGTCGGACTGATCAGAACAAAATATTTACCAATATAGAGATTTAGTAATGAGACAGCGTTTTTACTACACTAATGTTTTCCTTCTTGTCAATTTGGTTATGTTGATTTGAGATGAATGTTTTCTAATTCACTGAAGGGTTTTGTCCTTTTCACTGTTAAATTTCAATTTCCATCTTTTCCGTTTACTCTTTCCCTGTCTACTTTTCCGTTTTCTTATCATAAATGTTTCAACTGCTAGGTATTTCTGTGTTGTCAAGAGCAAATTTATTTATGTTATTGATGGTGATACTTCGTTTTTTTTTCTGCAGTAATTCAAAAGAGGGTTCTGTTTTGCCTTCTGAATGATTATATATTCCCAGCTTATTAGATTGCTTTCTCGTTCTGATCATAAAAAGTTAAAATACAGGCGCAATTGAGTGGTGTCCATTACGAAATGAAATTCGAGTGTTTGATCGCAGAGAAGAATTGTTACTCCAGCACGAAGTACATGTTTTGAGGTTAAAGAAATTATTCTTTTTAACCCAGGAGTAGTTGATGCAATAACGGTAGGAGGTAGTTTTGGTTTTCTGAGTTCGTTCACATTTCATTCGAACTCATTTGGCTTTTCAAGGCTGTTCCCTCCTTCCGAATTATTGTTGTCATCGCGCGCAGACAATATTAGTTTTGGTTTTCCACTCCAAGTTCTGCTTAGTTCCTCGCATCTTTTTCAAGATGGAATTTTTGTCTACTTACGTTTTTATACAAAGCTCTGATCTGAACTCCAGTTTATGAAGCCAATAAATTATCTTATAAATTACCGCACTGGATTTTTTGTTGTCGTTTAGCGATTCAAAAATACAGGATTGTTCTTATTGGAATACTCCATTTCTGCTTAAAATGCATATGCATTATTATTACTTTTCTTTTTTTAGAAATTTGATTTTCCTTTCAAATTTTGTTTTGAAATTGATTTTTTAATGAAGTTATGTAATAATTAAATTAAGAGTAGTCTTATCATTAGAAAAAAAACTTAAGCTAACAATTAATTGGAAATTATCTCTCCTGTATTCCTGGGTAAGATATCTGACAGACTTTAATTTGTATTCTTGGAACTTCTTAGATTCTCGATTAGCATGTATAATATTTCTTGGTTCAAGCATATAGTTTTTTATTGCTTTAAAGTATGTTGAACTTGTTATATTTAGGAATGGATTAATAATTTATTTCCTGTTTTCTGAATGTTCACTCTGATAGTCCCATAGCTATCAAGTTTTGACTCGTAATTGCCTTTGCTTTCTGCAGTTGTCTTTTCTGAAAATACTCATTTTCATTGTCAATTTGTCTTTTAGTTTATCATGAGATTTCTAATATTCTTTCATTTTTTCATTTTTGGAAAATTCAATTTCTTTGAATTATGCAAATTTTTTGATAGGATTTATTTAGTAGTGCTTAAGTGTTTCGATTATTGTTTCTTAAAGCAATAAATTATATTGCGCTTGTTAGTTCAGTTATAAAATTTTTTCATGAATTTCAGGTTTCACAGCGAGAGACACTCCAGAGAACGAGTTTTTGCACCTACTAGTAGCAACACTGATTCATTATCATCGACTTCTATTCAGACTAATACATGGAGTCCGTCCGTTGCTAAACGAGGTAAATGTTAGTTGTGTATAAGTTGTTTCCTCTTCTATTCTTCAATATCCTTTGCTATTTCTACGATTTGCCAGTCACACTATTCCTTTGCATACGAATTTGTGACTTATTAGCATTCCATATAAAGAAATTAATCACAAATCATAACAACAGCAATACGTGTTTTATCCTTTCTTTTCTTGAATCAGGAAATACTAATAGATAGACATGATTAAGAGTGAGTCATGCGTTTCTTCAATATTATTCTCTGATTCTTTTCCAGAGGATACAATTAATATTAATGAAATAATTAATATCTGTTCGGAGACGAGGGAGGTGATATAAATATATACATACCATATATGTATTCATCTGTGAGATAAGCTTTTCAACTGAAATAGCTCAAAGCAAATTCATTCTTATTAGTTTTGAGAATCACAGAATATCTTAATTCTAATTGACTGGCAAAGCCAGCAAAAAAAGTACAAAATGCTTCGCAATCATGATTTACTGTTATGAGTCTTTGAATTTTATAATACTTTTAATTAAATGTGCCAATTATTTTCGGAAGGCTTAGTATTGGGAGTAGATTAGTACTTATTCTCTTTCTCTGTCTAATTTTCACACTGAATTATCCATTTTTTTTTTTTACTGAATTTCATTCGGAAACCGGAAACCTTCAAGAATATTTTCAGGGTCTTCCTTTGTTTACAATGTTTCTTCACCATCTATTGGCAACACAACTAATGAGCGTTTTACTTGTACTGGAAGTAATTTTGCTAAAGAACAAACGGCTGTTTGGTCAGCTGTGAATAGTGAATTGAAAAGTCGTCAAAAAATTGCAAAGGTTTGGCTTTACTTACATAATACGTAACACATATTGTAGCAGAGAAATCATTCATTCGAACTCCATATTTTTTCAGATGTATCCAATTTCTGGTAGAATAGATCACGCGCCATATAGGAATCTTTTTTTATTTTCTTATGTTCTTTCCCTGATAAGATGTAATATATTTCGTACCGTGAAGTATACCTTCTATGTTTTCTTATTTGTTTATCATTCCCTCCTACCCGATATTTGCGGTACAGTAGTAATAGTTTTGCTACTATCTACATTGTTGTTGATACCGTTTCCAGGAATATTGATAAATGGCGTAATATAATTATTGTAGTTTTTTCATCAATGAAAATAATTATTGCAATAGTTTTTTCATCAATGAAAAGTACATTTCTACTTGGTAGCTTCATGTTCAGTTCATCCATTTCAATAATTATATAGTTATTCCTTTTTTCATTTCAATTACACAGTCATTCTGCTATTCACTCATTCATTCCTTCCGTTGAATCTTTTCCATTTTAAAAACAAAGCAAAAACAATTTTTTATCTCTTTACTTCTTACTATAGTGGGGAAAAGTGAATTGGCTAGTGGCTAGTTAATATTATGTCAAAAAAGTAAATCATTTTTGGACTTCTCCAATATTCTTTTTTTACAGGTCCGACCAACTCCACAAATACCTTTGTTAAAGAAAAGTTTAACTGCGGTGGTGGTTGGAAGTTCGTTGCAGAATAAACTGCCTCTTCGTGGAATGACTACTGGAAATGGCAATCAAGGTTGTTGAAAGTTTATTAATCATTTTAAATTTGTTGAGATTCTTTAGCAATTATGAAATTTGTTTGAAGAAAAAGAATTTAAAAAACCACATTTTCAGCGTTATCAAAAGTTTTTCATTCTCAGTCGTCATTTGAAGGTTCTGTTCATTTACGACAAAATTTCGACGGCACATCTATTTATAGTGATAATAATTGCGGAAAGTTAACATCTGAATATGCTCATTTACCCGAATCCGCTGATACATTATTAAAATCAGATTTAATTGGTTAGGTTTTAATTATATTGAAACTTTGGGCTTTGTGGTTAAATTTTTTGATAGCCGAATTTTTGATAATGCTTTAAGTACTACATAGCACTAATTCGTGTTACAAGTTTAACGTGAAATCATTAGCTGTAATGTTGAAAACCCAAATTAATTATAATAATTTCGTGTTATAAATTAGCTGCTTATTGTGAAAGTTTGAACTCTGAATATCGTTCTGTAACTCAGTGAATAAATGAATTCCTTCATGAAGATATCAGCCTCTAGTTGGAAGAAAATTCTTGTTTAAATGTGACAACCAAGATTTATCAATTTTGTAGTGAAAACGAGGACTTCAAGTCAAGATCAAAATGGAAAAGATGATGATAATGTTAGTGTCGCTGGTACAGTCTTCAACGAACCGTGGGATTCTAATGTTTGGGAAAATTTGTTAGATTTGGCACATTATGGAGATGAGAAACCATCCACTCTTACACGGCACATCGACACGAATCAAACTGTCTTTGGTTAATTTTTATTATATTATAAATTTCTGCTTGAAATTTGTGAAGGTAGCCAATATTTGAGGAATTTTTTAAAGGTGGAAGCTCGAATATGAAAAAAATTCAACGACCATAGTCTTGTTTTTATGCTTTTCGAATACATGCTTGACATAACTAACTATACTATCGCATCATTCATTATTCGTTGCCAAAGTTCTGGGTTAGTATAACATAGATGAATTGGCCAGTAATATTTTTTAGCTTGTTTACTTTGAATTTGTCTTATCTTATTATGACATTAATAATTTTGTTTTTGCTTAGGCGGAGCGATTGCTGAAGAAGTCGATGATGAGGTGATTTGTTCTCTGGAAATGAGTTATAATGGTGAAGAGGAAAGAAGTTTTCAAAAATTACAGTCTATCACTAGTATAGATGATAGTCGAAGTACGACTTATTTATTTCATCCGTTTGGAAACACTCTTGATTCATTCTAAGTTAAAGAGAATTTCTCAGATTAAACTAAAAGGTCTCTGATTGATATTTCCGAATTTACGAACATTGGTTTGTCTTGGTATTTAGATAAACCTTCTATCATTTAAATTGTTTTTGATCTTTGTTTACATTTGCAAATTTTCTGTGATAATTCAAGATAATGCCGACTACGGTGTAGTGATTCGGAGGTTCGATAATCATCACCTAAATAATAATGCAGAGTCAGATGGTCGACGTAATGGTATTATAAACATTAATGCTTATTTGAAAAGTGAAGATAATTTGGATAAGCAGCAACAACTGGAAACAATATGGTTGGTTACTTCTTTTTAGGTAGAATTTCTAACTTTACAATTTTCTGTAACTTATTTCATATTTACTCGATTCCATTTAATTTAGTCGGATTATTCATTCAGATTCTCGCATTTGTTTCTTTGATTTCAGTAAGTCAGTCACAAGTGGTAGCGGAGATCCGGAAGCATCAAATTCATTTATGAACATAAGTAATGCTGGAGAAATGTCTGACGGAACAGCTACCATGGATAGTCATAAGTCAACAAACACACATTCAGTACGTTTTCTTGCTATTTTTGGCTAATCACTAGATTAATTACAACACTTTTATGTCTGAACTATAATTTTCTATTTTTTTGTTTTATTCTCGTATATGAAATATCTATGCTTTTCTATGTTCTTATGCTCCTATGCTGTTTTTATGTTTAGCTGCCGCGTATCCTTCCACGATATTCAAAGCTTGATGATTCGTGGCTTGAGTCTCTGGACGACATACCAACAAGCATTCGCGCACTATCACCCATTATTTCACCTCCAAGGTTGAAAAATAGTTTGAGTACAGACCCGGGTACAAAAATTCAGGAATACGTTGAAAGGTTTTTTTCTTTCAATTCGTATGCTGTTTGTTAAATTATCGGAAATTATATCCTTATTTTGACTCATAACTATAACTTGTCGTTACAGGCTATCACAGGAGGAAAACACAGTGTTCGGCGCTACTCTGCGACGCTTTATTGAATGTACATTTGAAGCAGAAGAGTGCGATCCACAAGTATTTTTTCGCCCTTTTCTAAGTTAGCAGTAATGACCAAATAATTTTTGGGTTTAGGCCAGTTTTAGGTAAACAAATGTTGGTGACAAATGGAAACCATGTCTAGATTTTAATTAGTATTATTCAGAAGTGCACTTTAAAAATTACTGCGAAAATTTCAGATCATTTAGAGAATTCAAATGGATTCTTATCTTAAAAAATATGAAAGGGAGTTGTTTTGGAACACCGTTTTAGGTGGTAATTCGAAATGTGCGACAGTTTTTAAATGGTTTAAAGAATTATCTGGTGAAGCATGGAGAAGGCGAACTTCATGATTTAATCGAAAAAGAACGCGCGCGATTGAATGCTAACGAGTTTTTGAATATTGATGCAATTTTAGAAGCCATTTTGCACAAAATTGTCCTTTGCAAGTTTTTCTTTAACGTAATGTATTTTTAGTTTAGCAGTGTAATTTTTTACTATATAGTTCCTGATTTACTTACACGGGACCTGAAAAAAATTTTTTTCTACTAAAATGAAATTAAAAGGCAAGATTCTGAAAAAGCTTTTTTTATTTTTGAAAAAAGTTGGTTAAAACGATAAAATTTAGGCCCTGTAAAACCGCATCTTTATCACTTGATGATACGCGAATATTCAAAAAATGGTTGGCTTCAAGCACTTTCTGAAAATCTTACCTATGTCCGAACTTTGTCGCCAGAGCAGTTAGGCTTTGGAGTCCGTTGTAAAGTACGTTTCTTCTGTATGATGTTGAATTAATGTTGTTAGAGTAGATTCTGCTAAAAAGGAATCTGAATTTGGGATTACTGGAATAAACTCGTTTTTGACTATGTGGCATCTTGACTGTAATGATTTTAGTTCATACCTCCTACAACTCAGAAAATGGAAACAATTAAAATTTGCTTGCGAAAAATGCAACATCATTATTCACCGCTGAAGAAACTAGAAAACTTACTGCGAGTGATATTTTTGGCAATTGGCAGGCAGCAGTCGTGCGACAATCCAAGCGGTGGTGATATGGAAAATTACGACCCGATTAGTATTGAAAGCAGCAAGATTAAAGTCTTACCTCCTGCTGATGGTTAGTACTAATAAAAATAGTTGATTGTATTTATAAGTTAGCATTCAGTTGTTAGATAAAATTCGAAAGTTTGATTAAAAGTCACTTAAACTGTAAAACAAATTAAATTTAGAATTGGTGCGATGGTTAGTGTATCTGTTAGCACGTACATCTACGGTCGGTTGTGAAGTTGAAGCGTGGTATATGTGGGAGCTGCTCCCAAAACAATTGCTGACTACTGGTGATTCCAGTTACTACCTCATTACTCTTTTTTCCGCCATTGATGTATTGAAAAATACTGAAAGCATTCGAAAGTTAGGTCAAGTGGATGATTCTTCAATAACGGTACCTTAATTCTTTTCTCTGCTTCGATTTAAACTTTTTAAAAGGCCTTGCATCTTGCGGATTATTGGCTCTCCAAAATGTTTGAATAGTCTAGAAATTATTTGATAAAATTTCGGACATCTCCATTACTTCTTAATACACTATTTTTTGTCATTAAACTTCCCGTAAAAGTATTAACAAGCAGTGAAGTCTCTACTCCGTTCTTGATTGGCCGTTTTATCTTTGATTAATTCATTGTATAATCATCTCGTATTTAAGTAGTGATTCATCAAGATATTAGTGTTATTCCTTCGTCACTGGAAAGCAAGTAATGCTGCGTAAAAGAATCTATGACATCTAATTTGCTGTCTTTAATGATTCCTTTTTTGTTTAGGAAGATGGATCATACTGTTCTTCACTAGGCAGTGTTAGTCCAGTGCTTTCATCATCGTCAGATGCTTTTGTAAAGGTAGCCGTGCCGGATGAACTGGATGGTTCTATCAGATACCACACATTTCCTGGTGTACCACAAATGACAGCTGGAAAGCTATGTCGCGTTCTTGCACATCAATTTGGCATTACAAATCCTGAAGATCATGGACTGTATGTTCTTTTTATTTCTTTTGATTATTTTTTACTAGAGTAATTGTATTTATAAATAAGGTATTATGTATTACAAAAATCTTTCCTTCTGCTCGACTGAAGATTGAAGATAGATTTCAAAAAGTGTATTTCCTATGGAACTTCTTTGAGATATCTTGAAACTTGTTAGGATCTTGGTACTCTGTGCAATGTTTGATTGTAAGCTCAGCGATCAGTACTTTTCTGGTTGAAATGTTTTATTTCAGATATCTGCTAGTTGATGGTTACGAAACATGTCTTTTGGCAAATGAATGTCCTGATTTAATTCGCCATCAGTTGAAGCAGGCACATAAGGCGCATTTATTTGCTTATAAACGGCATGAAGCGAAAATAGCTTGGCCTAAATTTGCAGTGTCTTCTCTTTCCTGATATGACCCGGATAATATTGTTCCATTGTGGCAGAAAATATATACATTTTGGAAAACGCGGGAGAGCTATCTTTAAGAAAAAAATAACCGAACTTCTGCCTTAGAAATCATATCAGTCTAGAATTTTTGTCTTTTCATGACGACAAAGGTAGTTATGATGTTGCTGATTATTTTGTCACAAATCTCGTCAAACATTCCATTAATTTTTAGTTAGGTTTAATTAGATTGTAATGATTTAGATTTCATTTGTTTTTGCTCAAGGATTGCGTTTTGCAATTGTTTTAGGATTGTCGTTTTAATATAAAAATGGTAACTGTTCAATAAGCTTTAAAAAAGTCCATGCGAAATTAGATAACTGAACTTAAAAATTGTTCTTAAATTCACTAACTCCGAAATTCATAAGCAGCATGGAGAAAGCAGCTTTAAAACTGTAAATTAAAATCATTCACTTTGAAGAATTATATTAATAAGATAATTTATAGCAAAATTTCGCTCCTGAAGTTGTAATATTTTTATGATATTTAAAACGAGAATTCTTGTCATTTTTCTTTTGTTTCAAAAAATTTTTGGTCCATTATATTTTCTGTATATTTTGGCAGCAATTACTGTATTAACTTTGTGGACATTTTATTCAAGAAAAAGAACACTCTAAATGTATTGTTGCATATTGTTTTTCAATTAACTTTAAATGTATTGTTGCATATTTACTTTAAAATAATAGAGGAAATCTCAACTGCTGATACAGTGACATTAGGTTATGACAGTAACAACGGTCAACATCTGAATCATGAAATTTGATTGTTTTTTTAAATTTATTATGTGTAAGCGAATGGCTAAGCCAAGCTAAGACTTCATATCACTGAACTCTATGCTAAAGTTTGCTGGTTGTTGAGTTGTTCCACTTGCTAGATTTTCAAATACAACGAATTTTTGTCTAAAAAAAATGGAATTTTAGCGTGAATGTAGTAACAGGATTTTGTCATATATCTGGCATTTCATAAGTCTTTTATCTTCATCATGTATTTTGATGGATGCAGGAAAGAATCTCATTATTCCATTGTGTACTACTTTTTTCTTTGAAAATGTCTCTTCATTGTACTCATGTTGTTCATATTTTAGCTTTAGAAGAGAGGAAGGAATTGTTTGGTAAATAAGGAATAAAATTATTTCTTGAATGAGTGTTGTGTTCTGTTGTAGAATCTATTCATATGTTTGGACATTGCGAGTTACTAAATTTTAGAACTGGAAATATTTCTATTTATAAATGTAGGACAGAGGCAAATTGATTCGTGCAAAATATGAAGTGCTTGGGTGAAGATTATAGGATATCGTTAATTTTATTGTTCACATTGAATTCAGCATAAGGGAAGAGCATGGTACTGATTTGGGGAATGTTAGAATAGGTAAGAAAGTTATCTTTGGGACAGTACGGATTTATTAAGTTGTGATTGTCCCGAAAGAATAGAAGATAATTTAAAAATATTCAAGGGAATCCTAGTTCTCAAGCAACTGTCTACAGTAAATACCTTCAATAAAGACATCAGCATGCTCACGTCTAAAGCAGTCAGTCAAACCTGACATTTGAACGTAAGTTGTCACATGTCCCTTCATAAAAGCACATCGCCAACAACAAAGAGGGACCGACCATAGTCTGCATGTCACTGGGTGGTTTGTCGTGTAAAATACTCGAAGCGAAACGAAAACATCTCGTTTCATACACAAATTTTGAGCTCATGTGTAAACGAAATGCTGATATAGCGAACAGGATGAGTTGGTCCACTAGGAAATGGCCTAGAATATGTTATGGCTTCATTTTTCATTTTGAAGGGATTTGATGATTGTGTCACGACAAGTAATTCGATCAGTGGTAAGAAAAAGTTTTAATCGATTGTGTTCGGCTAACGTTGTTGCACTGCCCTCCGGTTCTACCAAAGAGGTAATATTGTAGTATTTTATGCTACTCCAAAATATTAAAATGCTTAGCATCGTCCAGCGCAACATCAGTTTCATTAAAATCCCAGACTATGCTTAAGCCAAATTCAAAATTATCCACAGATTCGCAGTGCTTCCCGAAGATCACGATCGAGTTATTCCTTATAATTTCTCGATCCATTTTTCCAGTGCCTATGAATGATTGTTTATATGTGTTTCTTTCAGGCATTAAAAGAATTACGAAGAAAAACTGGATACAGCTATGTAAATTGCCGCAAAGCACTGAATGAATTTGGACCAGATAATCTGGATGAGGCTATCAAATGGTTGAAAAAAAGGGCTATAGAAGAGGGCTGGGAGAAAGCTGCAAAGTAATTTTTAGTGATCTTGTATATGTGTGTGTGTTTCGAGTAGTTTTTGTAGTTTGATACGTCAGAAATTTGTGTTCTTTTCCAGACTTGGTGATAGACCAACAAGACAAGGTATTGTATCAGTGATGACAAAGGGCAATAAAGCAGCTATCGTTGAATTGAACTGTGAGACGGATTTCGTCTCTAGAAATGAGGATTTTAAACGATTGGTAGAATCTAATATTTTATACAATTTTGTAGTGAATCACTTTACTAAAAATCCTTATGGAAATTTAAAGATCGGTATTGCAAGCCAGTTTTTTTTCATAGCGAAGTTTCTCATTTTGAAATCACCACTTTTACTGTTGTTGCTTTTATGTTTACGGGATTATTGATATGTTTATGGTTTTCAGCTATTTTTAAGAAACAATTTTTAGGTTGAAGATGTGACTAAAGCGGTTTTGCATGCTGCTGACCGGGATGGAACGAGTACTCATGGTTTTGAGTTATTGAATTCAAGTTAATAACAGTTCTTAGTCACGAATATTTAGTATTATCTTTTCTTTTGTTTAAAGAGTTATGTGCGATTGTTGTGTTCTTTCGATTGATAACTCATGAGAATATTGTTTACTTGTAGTTGATCCGTTAGCTATTACTCTAAATTTTGCTGTGTTTCTGTTGTATTTATTTAAAACTTTGCGTTACATTTTGCTAGATTTGGAAATTTAAGCTAAACTTTCGTAGGATTTTCTGTTCATGCTTTTTGAGTACTTATTAAATGCTTTCATTCTTTATAGAATCATAATTTTACTGCTGATTTTCTTACAAAACTTATTGCAGATATTAATTCTCTTAAAACATCAGAAAATGGTATGCTAGTGAAAGATTTGATTACTGAAGCAATCGGTAGACTTGGTGAGAATATAACCCTTTCAAGAGCGCAGCTAATATTGGCACCACCTAATGTTCAACTTTTTGGCTATGCACATCCCAAAGGTTTGATCTTTTTTTCTGACTTCATTAAAACATCACGAACATATTGATTAGTAAACAGTTTTTTATTAAGAAGGTACCGACAGAGTGTACATGGGAAGATATGTATCGGTTGTTGGTCTGAAAGGATCGAACAAAACTGATTTCCCAACAGAAAAGCTGGGATTTCAATTATGTCAACACGTTGTAGGGATGAGGTAAATCATTTTATTACCATCACGATTGAAATTACACTGTATCATGTCCATAAAATTGTTGTATGAATACGAACACTAATGCTGATTTCGAGTTTGAACGTTGGAATCTGAACTCTAGCTTAATTTAAATATAGTAGGTTTTTGCTTCTCTTTACTATCATGCTTTTCAGGACCAAGTTGCCCGGTTACTAATATTATTCTTGTAGGAAATTTTATGATTGCAAATATATTCCAGATCTTTAACACTGGGTACACCGTTGCCTGTAAAGAAAACATCTGTAAAAGATGAGGTATCTCAGGATGACGAAATCAACGCATTTTATAACGGAGAGGTTGGTTGGTGATGAGGATCTGACTTTGTAACTTAAGAAAAACTGAGGAATGATGGGGAATTAATTGAATGAGTTTTAAAATTTTTGCTCGTATGTTTTGGATTTCAAAACAGCTAATTTAATTAAAAAACGTTTTTATAGTTCCATTTATTTGTTGTTACTGAATTTAGGCGGCTGCACTGTTGAGACAGCATGAAATTTACATATTTATATTTTTTAAATAAAAAGTACTCAAAGCATAAATCTAAATATGAAGCAGTACCGATGACTGAAATTTATGGTAATAGCAAAAAAGTGAACAAAATAACAAAAATCATGTACAAGGAGAACTATTTTAATAATTTAATGAAGTGGTTTTTGTCGATGTTTTATAGTTGCAAATTTATTGTGATTTTTTTTTCATCCCAGGTTACGCATATCGATGAAAATGAAACTCAGCTATTAAGGCAGTCGTTCATGTTGAATCCTTCACAAACAGTTCATGAATACGTTACTGGCCATGGAGCGAGTATTGTTGATTTTTATCGCACTGAATTAAGTAGTAATGTGAGCGAAGAGTCTTTTCAAAGCTAATCTTTCTATTTTTTGATTGCAGTCCAAAAAATTATCGTATATCCACAAAATTCTTTCGTCTCAAGCAGTTTCAGCTTCATAATTTAAGATGTACTGTTTTAAATTTTATTAATCAACCGAACGCTTCAGTCATAGAATAAATGACGTGTCTTTTGGAATAAAAACGTTTGTTGCATATGTCATATACTAGTATTTTGCATGCTGCATTGATTACATATTCTTTTGTTTCCCGCAATGCAACAATAAAAATTTTTTGAAAATATACGTTCTTTTTGCAGCTGCACTGCAATATCTTTTTATTGCAACTTATTCAAGCTCTGTAGCGATTTGTTTGTATCATCAAGAAAATATGTGGAAACTTTGTTTTATTTGAGAAAAAAAAAACGTGTGGAATTTGTTTGTACATTGTGCTTATCATACATACATGAAGGAAAAGAATTTATGGCACGGAGAAGTGCGCAGTTAGTAAAAAAGTCGGTTGTGGACACTAAAATCAGGCTATTTTTTACCGTTAACTGGTTCCTAAATTTAATTTTCTCGAGACACTCATGATGGAAAACAAAATTGATATAAAAAAAAAAATCTTTATAAACATGCTGATCTCTTTCTTCCGTTTTGGTGGCTTCAGTGCTTTACTATTCAGCATTTTTCAATTTTCAAGGATTAAACGATATAATTTTTTGAAATACTTGATAAAGGCTATAAAAAAATTGATGGTTAGAAAATCATGGTTAAAGTTTATTTAAGCGCTTTAGTGCTTCTACAATCATTTTTTTTAATCTTTTCAAAACTTTCAAAGGACATATTTCCAGTAGAATTGTTATTAAAATGTTTCGTTTAGAAGGAAAGGTTGCATTCTTCTGCATGAACTGAAGAATGAAAGTAACTAAAATATGCAGCTGTTACTACTACCTCATTCTTCCTTTGTGGACGTCTTTCATCGTTTTCCAGTCTGTGAGACTAAGTTTATTTGTCATTAAGTCTTTACTTAATTAGAGTTAGAGTTGCAACTGTTATTAACATTAGGAAAAATTGTTATTCAGTTGACTGCAATGTATTACTCAAACATTTCTCCTACTTCTATTATGTTTAATTTATTTGCTTCGTTAATGAAATGACTGTTTACGAATTCATTGAATTGCATCTGCTCAACTGACACTAGATCTCTTCGAACTTAATTGTTCACTTTTATTTGATGATATCTATTGTCTTCCTTTGTTAATATCTTCCTTTTCCTTTTGCAATTAATGGAAAAAGTAAATCCTAAAAGTTGCATTCAAAGCAATGCAACTTGAGAAGAAAATTAAAAATTGCCAAGTTATTGAAGTAATTGATGAACAAATCATCTCAAAAGTAGTAATGACTGGACGGACCATTTTCTTGTATTTCTATAAGCACAGATTGGTTGGGTTAAATGAAGTTTTTTAATTACCGGTTATCTGAGCAGGAGAAATTTAATACCGGTTTTCTGAGTAAGAATGCTACTAATAATAGTTTTTTCCGCAGGTATGAAAAAAGCGTGAAATTATAGTTGAAAAAAAGTCGGATCGTGATTATTTTAGTCGGAGTTATTATTGATTTCATTTCTAAGTATTCTTCGCATTAACAGCTTATCGATATTGTTAATTCTTCCTGCCAATATACTAAATATCTTATTTTTTTTTTTTTCTCCAAAAACCGATGAAAAACGCTAATATAAATTAAATTCAAAATTTTCAAATTCATAATGACAAACTTTGTAATTACTTAATAGGGTTATAATATTTAATATACAGAAATTTTCAGTGTACTGCTTTGTCTCAGAGCAATACCTTCAAATGGAGTGGTCCATGACTAGCAATACAATTGTTCATCAGATGACACATCAGGGTGTCCAAAAATACCTGAGGCTAAGACTAGATCCAAACTCATTCAGCATTCCATTTACTGTCGAGACAGTCTGAATTAGATGAAATATTCAGGTAACAAGAATGGCAATTATTACCCTACTACTAAACTATTTCAATTACTTTCTGTCATACTTTACGCAACAATGCTCATAATGTTGCATACCGCTTATCACCCCTTATCTTATTACCTATCACTTCAAACTTATCAATATGAATCTTAACCTAAGTTATTAACCTGAATTGTTGTTGATTTAATTCAAAAGAATATAAATTTCATCTTATTATTGTCATCATACACTCTGTCTTTCTCTTTTTAATAAGTAGTGTATCTTTTACGGTACTTTTTTCCTATTTGTGAGACATCTCTAATATTAGAGTGTCCATTGGAATGTGTTTACATTTCTGTTTAGTTTTTTTCTTCTTTTTTTGATTCTGTAAGAAATCAGAATTTTATTATGTACCCGTTATTGTCACTTCCAGTGAATTCGAATGTCATTTTTATTTTTGACCTCTCTGACTTTTTGCAATGGCAACATTAAGAATCTAAGTTTAAATTTTGATATTAAATATTAATGCTAGAAACGACCGTTCCAACGTTTCGTTCAGTATGATAGAAATATTTGCTAATTTATAATAATTTCAAGCGAATTTCAGTTCGGCATGTACAAAATGTTAATTGAAAAATGCAGAATAACACCATCGACCTTGCCTATTATTGGTTGGTGTCCAAAAAGGATGTCATATCATATGTTAGCTGTTATAAAATAATCACTTGCCAAAGTGATTACTTCCCAGTGTCGTCTGCTCTGCTACACTTCACAAGTATTACTCGTTTACTCCTGAATTTTAGCGTCTATAAATTTCAACAGGAAAGAATAAAATACAAATTCTGCATAAATCAGTTCATTCTATGTTTTTTTTTTTTTTATCGTAGAATATCGAAAAATAATCTTTGATTATACCTTCTTGCTTATCTCGTTTCCTTGTTACTTAGGAATGTTAAATATATAATTTTATATATATATATATATATAATTAAATATATAATTTTGTTCTACTTCACTTAATTCTCTTAACTTTATTATGGTTTTTTTCAGTTGCTGTTTTTTCATTTTCAATGGATTTCTTTCTTACGATTTTTCAAATCTTATTAGTAATATATGAATTCAAAATCCAATTTTTGTTTCTTTTCAAATTTTCAGATCTCTTACATGCAAGACAAATTAGACCAGTTAAATCTCGATTTGGTGTCACCTATTCGATTTATTATTGTAATATCTTTTCTATTGCGAATAACAATAATGAGAAAAGCATGGAAGAATGGCCTTCTAATGACATACCATTGGCATCCTTAGCTGTTGTAATCATATAAATATAACCACTCAACCATTTATCACATCCATCTATCATTTCAATAGCAATTACATCTTTCTTCTTCTTTCCCTTCTTACTATTTACAATTACATCAATGCTCTTGACCTGAAATTGGATTTTTTTTTTTGTATTAATTGTTAATTTTACTTAGTTTTACTCAATTTCTATAACTACAATGGAAGAAAGTAAAATTAAACCAAATAAAGTTTCTTTTTTACTATCTTCAGCAAATATCTTAGAAAAGTTGGCTGTTGTTAGCAGCTTTCATATTTCTCATAGAATATTCACAAGGGAAGAATTTTTCCTTGCACTTTTCCTTTTCGATCGTTTGTAAGTGGAAATGAAGATTGACTCAACTCAGTGCTTTGTCAATGCATTGGTCATCTGTGAACAGTTTTTGTTATTTATCTCTTTGATGGATTCTTTATAATGATCGACTGCACATCGTTTCTGATGTCTAAGTTAAGAAAACTATTCAAATGTTTTGAAACATTTTTTTCCAATTCAGTGCGTAAGTCTATTCCCGCATTAAAAACAAATTCTTCGGGAATGAGCAAATTTCCTAACCCAATTTCTTGAACATTAAACAGTATTCAATGTCTCTCAGTATGGGAAAATGAACATTTGAAGTTTGCGCTATGGATGAGGTAAGGGGAGGGGACAGGGAGGAATTTTATCGTTCACTCTTTCAGTCGGTTAAATTCTGAACGAATTCAATTCACAATGTCATTTCTCTTGCGACATACCCATCGTTTCTTGCTTTTAATTCTTTGTCATAATGAGTTCCTATCAACAAGATTTCTTACATCAGTACCATTCTCGATTCTTGATTCGTCATTCTCGACCTGCTTTTTCATCTTGAAACATGCGCATTTGCCGTCTGCTTTTTCTTCGTTGCATACGCCGGATGATTTATATGAAAGTGCTTCATTATTTCAAAAATCTTTTTAGTGTTTACTAAAACTACTTCTTTAGCCACAAATAATAATTACTTGGGGAAAAGACTTATTACATGCATTTTGGTATGTATGTAGGATTATTATTATTATTACTGCTAATAATTATTATTGTTAATTATCATTATTATTGATGATTATTGTCATAGCGTTCACTGTATTTATTTTTCGCATTCAATTACTGGTTTGATTAATATAGAATGGCTGAGATTGTTACAAAATAGACAGAAATTGTAAATAAACCATTTAACGCAATTAATTATTAATTGTACGAAGTCTTCAAAAAGTCAGTAGATGAGTAAATAGTCATTTGTAGAACATCGAAACAATAAAATAGTGAAAGTCATTCAGAATTACTGTCGTAAAGGGAAAAAGACTTACTGCATGCATTTTGGTATGTATGTATGCATGCATGCATGCATCTGTGTGTATATCAACTTTTAAATTGACTATTATTTCGTTGCGTTCTTCGTTTTCCTTTCTTTAGCGCTTTGGGAACAAAATTTTTGCCTTTATCAGTCAACTATTTTTATTTTATCTTCAACATTGCTCTGAAATATCGAAATGATATGGTCGATTGCTTCAGTACAAAAAGTTTCACTTACTTCTACTTGTGTAATGGAGCATGCAGTAACATTCGAAGCATGGAATCTTGAATAAGAAATTATGATTCGTAAATAATAATAATAGAAATTCTCATATTCTTGCATTAGGCCAACTTATACATCATTTTTTTTTTTTTTTTTGTTATTAATTCTCCTCTGCTTTTTTCTTCCTTTTT